GTCAGCCTAGCTTTTCGCAGCAAACTCCAGGACGACGAGAGACTCTGTCCTTAAAGGGGCAGACAACACCTGAGAAAGACACTTCTAGCCTATATGGTCATGTGAATTCACATATATGTACGTACACACACACACACACACACACACACACACACACCATATAAAGCAGTACCATAAGAGAAGGTTTTTAAATAACTACAACGGGGCTGGAGAGATGGCCTAGTGGTTAAGAGAACTGGTTAAGAGGACCTGGGTTCAATTCCCAGCGCCCACATGGCAGCTCACAACCGCTGGTAACACCAATCCCAGAAGATCCAATGCCTTCTTCTAGACTTACAGATACCAGGCACACACATGGTACACAGAAATATATGAAGACAAAAACACTCATACACATGAAATAAATCTTTTTTAAAAAAGTGTCATACAGGGGCTGGAGAGATGGCTCAATGGCTAAGAGCACTGACTGCTCTTCTGGAGATTTTGAGTTCAATTCCCAGCAACCCACATGGTGGCTCACAACCATCTGTAATGAGATCTGGTGCCCTCTTCTGGCCTGCAGGCATACATGGAGGCTGAATACTGTGTACATAATAAATAAATAAATCTTTAAAAAAAAAAAGTGTCATACAGCCAGAAAACGCCTTTAATCCCAACTATCGGGTGCAGGTGGATCTCTGAGTTTGAGACCAGCCTGGGCTACAGAGGGAGTCCCAGGATAGCCAGAGCTACACAGAGGAGCCCCATTTTGAAAAATAAAATAAATAAAATAAGTGCCACTACAGTCTCCTAAATAAAGCATTAAAAAGATCATCTTTTCCACGTGCCAGGCACTAACCCAGTGTGAAACAGTGCCCACATTCCCCCAGTCTCTTCATTAATCCAACTGCTGCCAACAACGAAGCTGCCAAACATACATCTATAAACACTCTGGAAAGGGCAAGGCCTCCAGAAACTAAGGAAACAAACATTTTATTTTATTTTATTTTATTTGGAAACAAACATTTTAAATTCATGCCTTCCGCTTAGTCTGTAAGAATTTGGCTTTTTAAGCATCATCAAAAGCAGTTTTTAAGAATCAGAGGTTTTTTTGGTTTTTCTTGAAAAAAAAAAAAGGAATGCAAAAGTAAACAATTTGTAAGGTTAGTGTGAGAGATCTTTGTCAGGATGTTGCCAGCCCAGCATCACAGCATTGGAGAGGCTGTGGTCCATGTTTGACCTGCTCTCCACATCTCCATCAACTATGTCTGTGCATCTGCCAGGCTAGGGAACTGCAGGCATTATGCCAATGACGACACCACCAGCTGCTTCCTTTATTATGGACCAAGGTGTAAGCAATGAATTTAAAGACACTTTATAGCAAAGCGGACAGGCAATATAAAATAGATTTACTTGAGATGTTTTCAGAATTTATTTGTTTGTTTTCTGAGACAGGGTTTCTCTGTGTAACCGTCCTTGCTGTCCTGGAACTTGCTTTGTGACCAGGCTGGCCCTGAACTCACTGAGATCCAGTTATCAAAGTTGCTTTTATGAATTCCAGCAGAGGGGCTGGTTCAGCAGTTAAGAAATATAGGCCAGGTTTGTGCTCTCCTCCTATCTGGAGGCTTCAATTTCCACCTTTTAAGGAAAGGAAACAAACCACGAGCTTCCTGTTCAATCCTCACTGATGGCCAGACTTTTACACATCACAGAACGCATCCGCCTCCTTCTTTACTTCCCTTATCTTAATTTAAACTTGTTGAAATATGAGACTGCTTTAAGCACACTAATGCTTTCCTATGAGACTTATCTTACACCAGCATTAAGAATGCAAGGAAGAGCAAGACGGCTCTCTGGTCATTTGGCATCCCTAAAACATTTTAATTGCAGTGTTTATACTAGGAAGACTTAGCACTCAAGTAGGTGAAATTTTGATGTACTGAAACTCAATACATTTACTTTTATAGAACCTATTTTAATTTTCTGATTATTACTGAACGCAACTAGAAAAAGGGCTTCCCATGTCCTTCCCCTCTCTTTTCTAATTACATGAAAATGTAAAAAAGGGAGGATAAAATGACCATCAATACAAAGGATCACTTTTTTTAAAAGTTATATATTACTTTAACCCTATGTTTTCCTTTTTTAAAATGGGATGCCTTAGCAAAACTAAACTAGACGCATTCTTTTGTGCTTGGGTGAACAACCGGAAAGCCAAGCCTCCAGGCCCTGGGGAAGAACCCTGCGCCGATGTGCTGGGAGATAAGGCCCCACAGTGACACTTAGGGAAGGGCCTGCTCGCTTTCGAGTTTCTGCATTCCTCAAGAACAATTCATGGTAATAAGCAACTTTGCAGAAGAGCCACATGAAAGCTGGGGCCAATGAATGAGGGTCATCTGCTCTTTATCACAGGGTAAACCTCACCCCGGCCAGTGTCTAACCTTTTAACCTTGCCGATTCCTAATTTACACATGAATAATGGAATTCTGGCCCAGAGTGCAACTTTCCGCTTCTAGCCGCTAAATTCAGAAACTAAGACTCAGGCTGTGTGTTAAAAAGCCCAAGAGTGGCGCAGATTAAAGTTTTAAATTACAGGTAGCTACTACCACCACTAAACCAAAAGCTGCATTCGCTCATAAAATCCCTAAGAAAACAAAAGGAACACACTTGTACCCTGCTGTTATCAGCAAGGGGAAGAGCCAGCTTTAAAAACACACAGAGAAACAACAGAATGCCCACTTAAGGCTCCCCTCTTCCTGCTCACTTTGGATAACATCTGCACAGGAAGGGCGATTAAAGCCCCTGTCACAAGACACGGCCTCTTAACCAACAAAACCGTGCGAATCCAGGGTCGGAGAGCCTTCTTATTTTTAAAGAAAAACCGAAATTAATCCGCTGTGCATTTTGCCTTTTAAAATTCGTCATAGTGACTGGCTGAAAGCCCCACCTAAAGCAGGAGGTGGTCCAGGCGTTCATCTGGGAAGTTTTGTTTGTTTCCGGAGCTCTGTGAGATGGTTCGAGGGTAGATAAACATCTCTAAGACAGGGTCTTGATCTACAGTTCTAACTGGCCTAGAACTCCATCCCCCTGCCTCAACCTTCCACATGATGGGGTCACAGGTCTGTGTCACACCTGACTTTTCAATCCAAAGTTTATACTTATACTATGAAAAGTAGGTCATCTGCTTCCCCACAATATTTTGTAAAGTGATCAATATGTAATTTGGTATTATTAATAAAAAAATTAAAGATATAAAAAGGTGAAGATATTCAAAATGTTGAAAGTTTTTTGAATGATTGGTTGGTTTGGTTTTTTTTTTTAAATTTGAGTTTAGGTTAGGATGTTAGAACTGAACCCTGACATTCATGTATGTCAAACACATGCTCTAACACTGTGTTACTAACCCAGCCCCCTGGTCCTAATATTTATTCATTTCAGATTTTATTTATGGAGTCAGAAAGCTGGGTGAGTGGTGGGATTCTGTCAGGCTTCTCAGGAGGTCCTGGAAGCCAGTGTGGTCCTGATAAATGTTTGTCTTTTAAGCCCTGTCCACTCCCCTCCACCACCCACTTCCCCACAAAGGCAACACAAACTACAGTTCCTTGGCATGAAAAACTTTAAAAAAAAAATTCCACAAATCTGAAAAGATGGGAATAGACGAATCCCAGAGTGACTGCCCATTACACAAGACTCAAACACTGAACAGAGCATAAGGCTAAAATGCACATTCTCCTCAAAGGGATACTGTACAGGGAAGCCTAGAGTCAATGAAAGAAAGATTTCAATGGTCAATGATCAAAGCCAATGAAGGCGGTAGGGGGTATTGGGGTGGAGTTTATCAGAAATCTTTCAGGGTTATGTTCTTTTTCGGCAGGGGTGGGGGCGGGGTGGGGCTTGGCAGTATCTCTAATTTGCTGACATAGCTCAACATAAATATATCCCTGCTTGTGGTTATTCGCCACAATTCATCATCACCACATGATCACATCAATTACCTCTCCAAGAGCGGCAGAAACATGCCCCTGAGCCATGCCCCTGAGCCTTAGTAGTTAAGACACCTGGGAAACTCAGAGCTTCCAAGCTTTCCTTGTGGAGATCTTGGATAACCCACTCCCTAAAGGTTATGTGGTTATCTCAAGAACATGCCCTTCCTGTTGCATGCTTTATGAATGGGTCAGTGTGTGTATAGTGCGAAAACCTGCCCTTCGGGGGTTAACCAGCACAGCCAGCGCCGTAAAACTCTTCCCAGCATCCCACTTTGCTGAGTGTGTCACCTGTCACCTGAAGAGGTGGTGACCTTAAGGAGTTCCCTTACCTGTCCCAGGCCCATGCCGGCACCCACTACCAGATCAACCACAACCCAAGGGATCATAAGGCTGATAGTTGCTCGGACGATGTAAACACAGAGGAAATCCTTAGACAGTAGATTTTATGATAACTGCAGAAACCAAGCTGATCTGGTTTAATTCCATTTAGGCCTAAGAGAGGAACAGCCTTGGTCTCCTTCCCTCTCAGCTGGAAATGCCTCAAAATACTTCAAAGGCTTGAGAGTTACTGACCAACGCCCTCTCCTACAATCAGAATGCAACATGAGTGATCGAAGGGGCCTGAGAGGCCGGGCTGTAGGAAAGATTTAGCACTCAAGAGCCACACCGCAGAATGATTTACTTGGGATTGCTTCCATTCCGCAATTTCCAAAGACTGAAATCTTACAACAGTTTTGTGGGCACCGGCCAAACTTCTTCATGTAATCCTTACAGTGTGCAACGTCTGAAATTTAGTCAGAGTCACCTGACGTTATCAAGGCCTAATTTGGATTTAGGTCCCCACAACTCAAGTTGATGAAGTCTTTGCAGATTTCTCTGCAAGCCTCCCTTAGCTCCGGCTATTAACATCTCTGGTGAAATTCTTAACACATGTACGCTTTTAGTGCTACTCATAAGCCAATTTAAAACAAACAAACAAGCAAAAACCTTCTAGTAGTAAAAACTGATACCACCAAGAAGATGTTAAAGACTTACTTGACAATGTCAGATGAGCTTTCTGACTGAGAATGGCCCCGTATTTGTTCACAGCCAAGCACTGATAAAATCCTTCATCCGAATGCTCTCCTCGCCTGCCTTCCACCTCACGGATGTATAAAGAGCCGTTGGATAGAACCTGGATCCGTTTATTTTCAGACAGTTTTGCTCCATTTTTCAACCACGTGACCTTCACGGGACCCTCTCCATGAGCCTGGCAATCTAAAAAGACCGGGTCTTTCCTTGTGACAGTTACATCCTGTGGTTCTTTCATGAAAAACAGCTCGCTGAAGCCCCACACTCCTGCAAAGAGAAAGGGAGAGAGGGCCGTTCCCAGAATTACAGGTATAAAGTCATTTAGCACACAACTGTAAAACACATATTTGTGGTATAAGGCAGGTTCTCCAGCCATAACTTCCAAGGACCCTAACAACTGCAAACCCTTTCAACAAGTCAGAGAAGTCACCCTTTGCAATGTCTACATTCAAAACATGGGAAGACGCGGACACCTTGTATGAAGCCTAAGAATTTGGTTCTCAGGTTTCTGGCCAGAGACCCAAAGTCATCAGAACTCACTAGCACAAGTCATTGGCTACTTTTACAAGCTTGTCAAAAAGATCTTGAACAGGGTTAAGTCATAAAAGTCTAATTTTACAAGAAATCATTAGCAAAACTCCAACTCTGTGAACAGGCGAGTTGATTTCCTTGTCTCTAGCAGTGTTTTGGGGAACACCCCCCCCCCCCACCTACTCCTTTAGAAAGTGCCTTTATCTTTGGTGACAAATCACAAGTTTGCATTTTTTTCCCCCTATCTGCCCTTTTACAGCAGGGATACTATCTCCGCTCCTTAAGAGAAATCCATTTACTTCATTTCTGCCAAGCCAACTAGGTATTTAAAGGACACACAATGGACTTTGAAAAGTTGGTAACTCTGGCTGCTTGTGCACAGTGGGTGATCGGATTAGGAAACCTTTATTTCACTTTTTTCGAGCTACCAACTGTTGGAAAAAATGCGTGACTAATTGGTCCTTACTGTCTAATAGGGATAGGAGATTGCTTAATCAACCAATACACATTTTTATCAGAGCAGAGGAAATGCTTTATCCAAGCATACACAAGTCGCTGGGCTCTCAGGATAAAGCATTTGTTGCATCTTGCATTTAGAGCAAAAGCATGTTGATCCGGGCCAACACAAAGTTAGAAGTCTTGGTGGGAGATTTTTTTTTTTTAAACACTTCTCCTGGTTAGTGGGAAGCCCTGATTACAAATGCCCAGCAATAATTTATCTGTTTGTGATCAACACAGATGCTGGAACTTCAGAGTCTGGAACTACGAACTTCCATAAGATCTGCCCAGGGCAGCTACCCCAACAACCATGCAGCGTGCAACCACTCCGGAAAGACGCCCATTGTGTTTCTGAGCCGCATCCTACTTTGATCCTTTCTCTTGCTAACTGAAACTAACTCTTCCAGGAAAAAGAAAAAGGAAAAAGAAAAGAAAGAAAAAGCAGTGCTTGTAACTTATAAATAAATAACTCAGGCCCCTGAACACCTTCTCGAATCTCCTCTTTTCCCTAACATTCACTGTACACGTTTCTGACTTTGAAGAAACCAAGGTTGAAGAAATGAAGATAAATAAATTTATGGAAGTTTGTGCAAGGCTAATCTGGCGGTTTCAGGAACCTCCAGCCGGGACTCCAAAGATCTACGTGCAGAAAGTAAGTTCTATCCAGACACCTTCCTCCCTCCCTCTCTGGGGGCACAAATGGGCCACATAACTTTCAAGCTCCTTCTCCTTGCAATTCCACCCTCCCATCTCCTTGCTCAGTTTCGAGCTGCGGAAGTGGAGGGCGCCCGGCTCCGCCACCCCGAGACTTGGGGAACCCATTGCAAACCCTGGAAACGGCAGGCAACCGCGGCGCCCCCTGCACGGCGAGGCTGCCACTCAGGAAACAATATAAATAAAACCACGTGCGGCCGCGGCCCGGGACGCAGCGCGGAACCCCCCGGCTGGCCGCAGCGCGGACAATGGCGTGAGCAGGGCGAGTGGACAGCGGCCCCGGGGAGACTCGGCCTTGGCCGAGGGGCAGCGCTCGGAGAGCGCATCCCGAGGGAACCCCGGGCCGGCCGCACCACCCGG